ATTAAAAGATTTTCATCTATCCACGCTATTTGAAAGCGGTTTCAAACTAAAAAAAATCATATTCAATAGTTTGTTAAACCTCAAAAGTTAATTTAAGTGATGAGATTTGTCCATACTGTACTAGCAGACTATCTCTTATATGCTTAATTGATGTGAAAATTTAATCTACATGGTTTGAACAAGAATGTTAAGTTTTCAACTGTCAATAAATTGTCTTAAACATTATTTGCTATAATTTTATATTGTTTCATTATGAAAATTAACATATGATAAATCTATAGAAAAATAAAAACATTTCTCTTATCTCCTCAATTAAGAAAAAAATTAAAATCCCTATAATTTATATTGATTTCTATCAAATGTTGATTATTTTATTACCAGTTAACGAGTTATAATAAAATATAATTTAAACTACTATATTGAATTACTACAATTTATATCATGTTAATATTTGTTCAGTGCTTTTGGTTCTCTTTGTTTGAAATAGTAAATTGTCTCTTTAGGGATGCAAGTCCCATTGGAAGTTCTCTTTGTTTATTGTACTAAAACTTTCTCTTGATTTTGTTGTATACATGACATGTAAAACCATAAGTTTTTTGTTCTATCTTTTATCGTATTGCAAAGAATGATGTTGTTCGTTTTAACTTTCATCAAGTAGCCGATTGTTCCTACTGTTAAAATACTTGCGAAACTAATTTGGATATGCAATTTTAAGACTACAATGTTGGGCCCGTATACGGGCCTTTCCTCATCTAGTTTTATAATATAAAAAAAATATAAAGATATATATATATATATATATATATATAATTATTAAAAATGCTGTTAGATTTTGTATAAAAATAATGAAAGGCTTTTGATAAATTCAAAATTATAATTTTGTAAAAAAATATTACATTATTTAATTTTTCAGTAAAATACAAAATGAGAAAATTAATCAAATATTACAATAGAAAAGAATGTACGAAAAGAGGGGGATAAAGATAATTTTATTAAATCATAATTTTATAAGATTAATATTCTGTCAAATTATTCACGTATCGCGCAAGATCTAATATTAGAATAACTAATTAGTAGAAGAGTGTAGTTTTAAGAGGTTTAAATTTAGATATTATGGAAGTATGAAGAAGAAAAAAGTGTGTGCTTTGTATATTTCCTAATTTAGGTGTAACGAGCCTTTAAATATTACTGAATGTACAGATAGTATGAGCATAAAAATTGCTTAATTTTTTATCAGCTCATAATTAGTAAACTAATATTTCTCAATAATATTCTTCTAGTGTGCTCTATTTCTTATTCTGTTAACGCCCCCACTAGCAGACAAATAAAAGGTCGAAAAGCAATCAATAACATTTTCTATGTTGTTAGTTTGGGCGACTTCTTCCACTAAGATATTCGGTTATTAAACTACCACACATGAGCAAATTAAATATTAGCATGCTATTATAAATTATTGCCAGTTGATTTATTTTATTTTTATGTCAACATAACATTTTAATATTTAAGTTTCTTATTATTGTTATTGTCTTTGTTGAATTTTGTGATCATTCCATTTAAAATGTTATAAGTGATATACTTTTATACATTCAATTGTGTTTTAAAATGCTATGTGGATCTAATTTTTCTTGTCATTATTTGAATTCATGATAAATTTTTCATCATATATCATATTGATTTTATGATCATTTCATAAAACGGTTAAAGTTATTAAGATTGAGACTTTTCATCTATTTACTTATGCGTTAACAATTTTGATCAATATCTTAATCAGTTACTTTTTTGTGCATGGAATTAATTCTAATAATAGAAAACTAGAATATTAGGACCATAACACTTACTAATGATATATTCACACAATATAATCGGCAGATATAAACCACCTAACGATGAAGCTATCATACAAGGAAAATTAAAGATTAAATTTGCTTCACCAAAAGTTACAAGGATCAATATCGAATATATTAATAATTGAGTGATAAAAATGCAATTATTCTTTTAATAAGTTTACAAACAGTTATTGTGAAACAACAAGTAAAAAGAAAATGGAAGAAGTTATTTGGGACTAATCTTTAAAAACTAGCCCACGTGGGAATTTGTTTATTCCCACCAACAGGTCATGTCTCTCCTAATCCCAATTCTTTATGGTCAACACATCTTCTTTTTCTTTTTTCTTTCCATTATTAAAGACAAAGTCATTATCTTCTAATACTAATAGAATCATGTAATCAGATTTCTATTACAATAGAAACATTAATTAAGTAAAGCAGTTCATAATTTCTTTCGAATTCGAAATCTAATTACCAGTCGGCTAGTTAATATCTTATCCTTTTGTCCTGAAACTCTATAATTAAGTTATTACCTATTTATAGTAATAGGTAACTGTTTAGAGTAAATATGATCTAAATAACAGAGTAAATAAATTTTTACTCTTTTAACAGTTATTGAAAATAGTAAAAAGACTATTAGGACCATAAAATCCACAAAGGAAATATCACATACTCCAATAATAATTAGCAGATAAAAAGCACCAAATAATTAGCATTGAATATTTCGTACTTAAACAAAATAGTTACCACTTTTATCTAAAACTCAAAATCCGCAAACCCCCTAAACCAACTATAATTCTGTTCTATCACAATCTTCTTCTCTTAGTAAAAATCCTTATCCTACGGAATTATGGTGAAATTCCCCTCTATAAATACCAAACTCTCGTTCACTTTACAAAGCACTCAGCTTTTACACAGCTTTCTTGTTTTTTTCTTCAGTGAGAGATTCTTTTATAATACAAAAAGAAAGAAAGAAAGAGAGATGGATCTTGATCTTACACCAAAGTTGGCAAAGCAAGTGTACGGAGGAGATGGTGGTTCTTATCATGCATGGTGTCCTAATGATCTGCCGATGTTGAAAGAAGGCAATATTGGTGGTGCTAAACTTGCTCTTTCCAAAAATGGTTTTGCTTTGCCTCGTTACTCCGATTCTGCTAAAGTTGCCTATGTTCTTCAAGGTAAAATTTGGGTCTCTTTTTTTTCTGGGTTATGATCATAATTTGGGGTTTTTGTGTTTACTGTTTTAGAATTCTATGTCTACTACTTGGGTTTTATAATTGGTGTTTTTTGACTTTTTTTATTTATGAGTCGTAATGGGTTTGTTGTTTTGATTTATGGGATTTGTTTCAATTTTGTTCTTTAGAGTAAATATTTACTACTCCATTGTTCCAGAATTCTATAATCCTACTTGCGTTTTGTTGGTTTTTTTTATGAATCGTGTTTTTTTGTTTTGTTTTGATTGGTGGGGTTTTATTTATTTATTTATTAGTTAGTTAGTTAGTTATTTTTAATGGAGTTTACTTTTTTGGATTTGGGGGTTTGGTGATTAGTCTTGGTTTTGATGGTTTGGTTTAGGATCTAGGTCTTGTGTGATCTATTTTTAACTATTTATTATGATGTTAAGGTCTAAGAATTTGATCCCTCTTTTGCTGTAAATCTGTTTTTTTTTTTGATTGTGACATGGTTTGTGAGTAATTATGAACATCTTGCTAAGTTATTGGATTGGAAGTTTGTTTTCATCTATATTACTTGGTTATTTGAACATCTTTCTCTTTTGGTATATGCTTCATGTTAAATACTGTGATTTGTGTGGTTGAATTAAAGATTTAATCCTTAAGTTTCTTGATGCCTAATGATTTTGTGATGGTGTATGGTATATGTAACTTTCAACTTTTAAATACATTGTATACAGATCTGCTTATTGGGTTCTTTTCTGAGCATTTATCTGAATTCTATCAGGTTCTGGAGCTGCTGGAATTGTTCTTCCAGAGAAAGAAGAGAAGGTGCTAGCGATCAAGACGGGCGATGCTATAGCCCTCCCTTTTGGTGTTGTAACATGGTGGTACAACAAAGAGGACACAGAACTTGTGATTCTCTTCCTTGGCGATACCAAAACTGCACACAAAGCTGGTTCATTCACAGACATGTACTTGACCGGCTCGAATGGCATTTTCACTGGTTTTTCAACCGAGTTTGTTAGCAGGGCATGGAATGTAGAAGAGAGTGTTGCCAAAACTCTTGTTAGCTCCCAAACTGCTCAGGGTATCGTGAAGCTTGACTCGGGCTTCCAAATGCCCGAGCCTAAGCAAGGCCACAGGGACGGCATGGTTCTCAACTGTTTGGAAGCCCCATTGGATGTTGACATTAAGGGTGGTGGAAAGGTTGTTGTTTTGAACACCAAGAACTTGCCTTTGGTCGGGGAAGTTGGACTTGGTGCTGATCTTGTGAGGTTGAATGGAAGTGCTATGTGCTCTCCCGGTTTTTCATGTGACTCGGCTCTTCAGGTCACTTACATTGTTAGAGGCAGTGGCCGTGTTCAGGTTGTTGGCCCTGATGGTAAGCGCGTTCTTGAAACACACATCAAGGCGGGCAATCTCTTCATCGTTCCAAGGTTCTTTGTTGTCTCCAAAATTGGTGATCCTGATGGCATGGACTGGTTCTCTATCATCACTACCCCTAAGTATGTGCCTTTTTTTGTTGTTTTTGTTTTGTTTATGTCAATATACTGATTTGCTTAACCGATTTCTAACCTTAAACAAACTTTTATGTGGCAGTCCAATTTTCACTCACTTGGCGGGAAGGACTTCAGTGTGGAAGGCATTATCGCCACAAGTGCTGCAGGCTGCATTCAAGGTTTCACCAGATGTAGAGAAGCAATTCAGCTCAAAGAGGACTGCAGAAGAGATTTTCTTCCCACCACCAAACTGATTTGATTGATCAAAGTTTCAATCCTTTAATAAACTTAGTAATAACAGTAATAGTATTAGTAGTATAGAGGTTTTGGAATTAATGGTATACTGTTTTTGATTCGGATATTTCTGTTGGTGTTGAGGTATCTTTGCTCTTCAGTTTTAATAATAATATCCTAGTTTAGTATACTATCTTTTGTTGGTTGCCTTTTTGTTTCTGATTTTGATGGTACTGGTTTCTCTTTATCCACAAGTATTAGAACATATATGCATTGCCTCATTTACCTTAGTTAAAAACTTAAAATTTACAAACCTAAGAGAAATATATATCATCTACTCTGATACTCTGACTAAGATATCTTGATCATATATGAGCTTCTTTATATAATCAACAAATAATTTCCACTTGCAGCTTCAAACCAAATAAAATTAATTACCACATTGCTCTTTAATTCAAGGTCTTAGACTTCAGGAGTTATATCTTCAAAACCAAACAAAAAAGTTGCCAATTATTTAAAATCAGTTTACAAATAACATTCTACAACAAGTGCTAACCAAAAAAAAAAAAAAAAAAAAAAAAAAAAAAAAAAAAAAAAAAAAAAAAAAAAAAAAAAAAAAAAAAAAAACAAAGGGTTAAGTTGCCAAAAGAGAATACAGGGGCCAGTCGACAAAAGTTAAAAAGTTAAAGGGCTCCACTGCATTTTCCTCCTTTTTTAAGTACTATATTATTCATTTCATTTCATGGCGTTCCCTCCATCTTCAGAATAATAACCCGCCAAAGATTGAAATTGCGTATCACTATTGTTAGTTTGGGGAATTGGAATTGGAATTGGGAAGAGAAAAATTCAAAACAGATGCCATTATTGAGCTCAATGGAGTGCGATTACCCATTAATCGACTCCAATTTCCGCGACTTCTGTGCTTCTCACGTCATTTATTCAGGTTCCCTTTTCTATACTCTCATTTTTACCCAACTTGTTCTTATCAGTTTGAAGAGCCGATTTATTCTATGATATTATCTTCCTCATCTAGCTCTGATTAACTCAATCTCTTGGGTTTGCTTTTATAGTTGTGTTAATCTTGCAATGTCCTCTTTACCCCCCTTTCATTTTATGGGGATTCCATATATAAATATGTGCGCGCGCGTGTGTGCAAGGGCTAAGACTTGAGCGTCAGGTTGTTATTTATTTTGTAAGAGGACCAACGGTGTTCTATATTTTCATGATGATATGATTCTGCGCAGAAAACCCTGCTACGCTACAACTTTGTATGCAACTTAGCCTTATATTGTAGACCAGCAGTGGAGCAAGGAATTTCACTAAGGGGTGTCAAAATACAAAGAAGTAAATACATGAATAAGCTAAAGCGGATTCAATATATAGTATATACAGCTACACAATGTAATTTTATGACGAAGGGAGGTGGCTACTCTACTGCTATAAACAACTGATTTTGTAAACTTATGTGGCTAGAGCAGTTTCATCCTACCTCAGAAATAGTAAATTAGTAATACAGATGAGGAATGGCAAAGGGGC